GGGCCAGCTGGTCTGAAGTTCAGGGAGGTGTTTGTGAACTCCAAAACTTGTAGCTAGCACCCATTTGACCTAGCTTGGATGGCTAGTTGACCAGAACTTGACCTGAGGACAAAAAGGATGTTTGATACTGTGAACAAGTACAAATTGCTACAATTTGATGAACTAGACTTTTGCTTATGAATACAGTTACTCAAAATTCCAACTGGAATGGATAGACTCTTCATATCAAGAAACAATCCTGTTTACTCATTGTATTGGGTTGATTGTTGTTGTTGTTTAAGTTCCATCAAGATGGTTCTAACCCATAGTGACCCTGTATAAGGTTTCTGAGAAGCGGCCGGTGAGCCTAAGCCACTGACCTCGTGGTTCAAATTGGCTTTGCAGGCCAGCGCATTAACACACAGAGCCATACCAGGACAAGAAATGTAGACATTGGCTATCAAAAACAGGGGGCAGAAAGTTTCAAAAGTCAGCTCAAGATAAAGTCAAATATTATAATGAAGTTAGAAAACCAAAAGGGAAGAACATATACAACATTTCTCAAGTTGAAAGAACTGAGGGAAAAATTCAAGCCTTGACTTGAAATATTGAAGGATTCTATGGGCAAAATACTGAATGATGCAGAAAGCATCAAAAGACAATGTAAGGAATATACAGTCACTGTACCAAAAAGAAATGGTTGATGTTCAACCATTTCAAGAGGTAGCATATGATCAAGAGGCAATGTTTCTGAAGAAAGAAGTCCAAAGTGCATTGAAGGCATTGGCAAAGAATACAAATTGAAATACTTCAACAAACTGGTGTGGCACTGGAAGCACTCACTCATCTATGCCAAGAAATTTGAAAGTCAACTACCTTACCAACTTACTGGAAGAAATACGTATTTGTGCCCATCCCAAAGAAAGGTGACCCAAGAGAATACAGAAATCACCAAACAATATCATTAATATCACATGCAAGTAAAATCATGCTAAAGATAATTTTTTAAATGGCTGCAACCATACATTGGCAGGGAACTTCTAGAGGTTCAAGCTGGATTCAGAAGAGATGTGAAATGAGGGATATCATTGTTGATGTAAGATGGATCTTGGCTGAAAGCAGAGAATACCAGAAACATGTTTACCTGTGCTATTGACTACGCAAAGGCTTTCATTGTATGGATCATGACAAACTGTGAACAACATTGCAGAGAATGAGTATTCTGGAACACTTAATTGTGCTCATGAGGAGCCTATACACAGACAGGTGTTCGAACAGAACAAGGAAACAGAGGCAGGGCTTGATGGCGGATAGGGTAGAGATGCAGTGATGTTAGCCAGCAGCAATACCACAGAATACCAGGTGAAGAAGGTTCAGGGCAAAGCTCCAAAACTCTGAATCATATAGGTAGGAATATTTAAAAAGTTTGAAGGCTTATAGCTAATGGAACTTGTAGTGAAAGTAAGAAATCGCATATTTTTTATTCTGCTGGGTTCGGTGGCCTGGAGCCGACAACTTGGGCGAGACCAAACAGGAGGACCAAGAGGGGAGTGGGGGGAACAGATGAAGAGGAATAACTTAAGAATTATATGCATTCCAGAACAGGAAGAATCACACAAATCCACAGAGAAAATAGTTGAAGAACTGCTGGAAGAAGATTTCTCTAACATCCTGAAAAGTGAAAAGATAAACATTCAAGAAGCTCAACAAACCCACGAAGGATAGACCCCAGAAGAAAATCACCAAGACATATCATAATCAAGCTCTCCAAAATCAAAGATAAGGAAAGAATCCTGAAAGCAGCTAAGAAAAGAGAAGTGTTACATACTAAGGCAAGCAAGTCAGATTAAGCTCAGATCTCTCAACAGAAACCATGCAAGCAAGAAGGCAATGGGAAGACATATATAAAACCCTGAAAGAAAAAAAAAAAACTGTTAACCAAGAATCCTTTATCCAGCAAAGCTATCAATCAAATATGATGGTGTAATCAAAACATTCCAAGATAAACCAAATAAGGAAACACCAAATGACTTAAAATTAGGAAAGGTGTGCACTAAGTTTGTAGTCTTTTACCATTTTTATTCACTCAGTATGCTGAACAAATAATTTGAGAAGCCAGATTATATGAAGAAGAACATGGTATCAGGATTCGGGCAAGACTTATTAACAATCTGTGATATGCAGATGATATAACCTTGCTTGCTAAAAGCAAAGAGGACTTAAAATACTTGCTGATGATGATCAAAGACCACAGCCTTCAGTATAGTTGCACCTCAATGTAAAGAAAACAAAAATCCTCACCACTGGGTCAATAAATAACAAAGATAAGTTAATAAAAGATTGACATTATCAAAGACTTCATTTAACTCAGATCAAGCATCAACACTCATGGAAGCAGCAGTCAATGTATTGCATTGGAATCAAACAATGTATTGCATTAGGCAAGTCTGCTGCACAAGATCTCTTTAAAGTGTTTAGGAGCAAAGATATCAGTTTGAGGACTAATGTGCACCTGATCCAGGCCATGTTATTTTCAATAACCTCATATGCATATGAAATTTGGATAGTGAATAAGGAAGACTGTAGAAGAATTGATGTATTTGAGTTATGACGTTGGAGCAGAATATTAAAAGTATCATGGACTACCAAACGAATGAACCAATCTTTATTGGAAGAAGTACAGCCAGAATGCTCCTTAGATGCCAGGATGGCCAGACTTCATCTCTCATACTTCGGACATATTATCAGGTGAGACCAGTCCCTGGAGAAGACGATTGTGCTTAGTAATGTGGAAGGTGGGGGAAATAGAGGAAGACCCCAATGAAATGGATTAGCACAGTGGCAGCAGCAATGGGCTCAGGCTTAGAAACGATTGTAGGGTAGGCGGGGGACCAGGCAATGTTTCATTCTGTTGTGTATAGGGTTGCTATGAGTCAGTGCTGACTTGATGGCACCTAACAACAAGTGGTGGTTTCCCACTGTCTCTTTACACAGATGTATTCAATTTGACTTCTGTGTATTCCATCTGGTGAGGTCCATGTGTATAGTCTTATCTTTTATGTTGCTTTAAAAAGTTAGGTGCAATGAAGAAGTCATTAGTCTTACAAAATACTATCATGCGATCTCTAAACTCGTTTCTAGATCACCAAGACATATTTTTCAACTGCTGAACCTTCCTCTTTGTTTCCAACCTTTGCATTCCAATCACTAGTAATTATCAATACATCTTTATTGCATGTTTGATCAATTTCAGAAGACTGAAGAAGTTGGTAGAATTCTTCAATTTCATCATCACTGGCTTTAGTGGCTGGTGTGTAAATTTGAATAATAGTTGTATTAACTGGTGTTCCTTATGCTGTTGTTGTTAATGCCATCAAGTCAGTTCCAACCCATATAGCGACCCTATATAGGGTTTCCAAGGAGCAGCTGGTGAGTTTGAACCACCAATCTTGCAGATCAAACAGATTTTTCAGTCCAGCGCATTAACCCATGGTGCCATGCCAGGACTCCAGTTTTCCTTATAGGAGATACGGATATTATCCGATCACAGACAGTGTTGTACTTCAAGACAGATCCTAAAATGTTCTTTTTGATGATGAATGGATGTCTTTCCTCTTCAATCTGTCATTCCTGGCATAGTATACTATGTGAATGTCAGATTCAAAATGGCTAATATTGTCCATTCCAGCTCACTAATACCCAGGATATCCACATTTATGCATTCTATTTATTTTTGACAATTTTCCTAGATTTGTACCTTGTACATTCCATGTTCTAATTATTAATGAATGTTTACAGCTGTTTCTCTTCATTTTGAGCTGTGCCCCATCAGCAAATGAAGGTCACAAAGGCTTTACTCCATTTGCATTATCATGGTCAACTTTAGTTTGAGGAGGCGGCTCTACCCCAGTCGTATTTTGAGAGCCTTCCAAGCTGAGGGGCTCATCTCTTGGCACTAACTATATCTGACAATATTCTGAGGCTCTTCATCATGTTTCAATATTCTGGTACTGACAGTGTTCTACTGCTATTCATAAGGATTTTAGTGAGTAAATATTTGGAAGTAGTCCATCTTTCCTTCCTAGTGTGCCTTAGTCTGGAAGCTCAGCTAAAACCTTTCCACCATGAATGACCCTGCTGTTATTTAAAATACCGTTGGAATAGCTTCCAGAATCACAGCAGCACACAAGCCACCACAGTACGACAAACTGACGGATGGTGGGTAGCAGTACTAGATAATCAGTCACTAAGGATGTTCATAAGAAAGTACTTACTCTGAAAGTAATTATGAAAGTTTACAATAAATGTTGAAAGGCATCAGAGTGAGAATAAATAAGTGACAACTTTTTTGTGACCTAAAACCATGCTCTAACATCTGAGATCATTCTTCCATCTTTAAGATAAAAATAGTAAGCACTTTCCTAACTTCTTCACAGAGTTATCATGGGAATCAAATGAGAAAGTATGATATCTCTGAAACCATACAATAAATAAATGTAAGATAGCCTTATTCATGCCTGATTGCTGTAAATTAAAATAGATTCAAAGCACAGTGTTAAGGCACAGACATTTACAAATTTTATTTAGGACTCTGACTTTAGGATTAAATTGACATTTTCATTTTGCAGGGAGTGAAAGATGAGAATCAAAGTTCCACTTAAAAAAAAAAAATCATTTGTACATATAATAATAAAGATCTGGTTTTCAAGAAACAGTTCATATTTTGGAAAGTGAAACCTAACTTATTCTCACTGAAACAAAAAGAGGAGTGAAGGGAAATTCCATAAATTAGGAAGCCACCATAAATAAATAAAACACTTTTAATCCTGCAAAGTGGGACTTCCCCAAAGACCGGACAGAAGGTTTTGCTGAGTTAACTGCAATATTATCCAATCAGAGTTAGGGAGGGAAACTGTCTTTGCAAATAAATACTGAATCCTAGCCCACGTTTTCTGAGACACTCCACAGCTGCTTACACACATTCTGAGCTTACGGCGAAGGAAACCTCCAGTCTCATCACCATGGTCCTACGTGCCAGTCTTATTTTCTGCCTTATCTTTCTGACTCTGTATGGGACTCAAGGTAAGAAACACTAAATATATTTATTTTGTAAAGTCAGAAATCAAACTGGGTATAAGTTCTATAAATACAGAAATAGTGTATTTTCAGGTTTCACAGTCTGCCTGTCAGTGAGAGGTAAATAAGCAGAGATTCCCTCTGGTCTGAATAGTTGAAGTCAGAGAAGCAGGTAGAATAAAAATAAAGAAGGAAGAAAGAAGGCAAAGCATAAGGGAAGGGTAGAGAGACAAAATGTGAGGGAACGATGAGACAGTGAGTGAGATCCTAGTTAATAACCATGTGAACTATGCTCAAGGATATGACTTTAAAATAGAAATGTTATAATTATATCCTTCCATATAATCAACTGATGAATTATTCAGAGCTGTGTTATACTGGGATACATTCTTTCTCTGATTAAGTGACATAGAGATATAGATTCTGCTAACTACCTATAACTAAATTAAATACCTAAAACCCTGCACTAACCTACCCTGCTGTACCTATCTTTTTTCCCACAGGAGTAATTCTCTCTAAAATTACCCGTTGTTCCTGCATTGACGTGTACAATCAACCTGTGAATCCAAGGTCCTTAGAAAAACTTGAAATGATTCCAGCAGGTTTCGCTTGCCCAAATGTTGAAATCATGTGAGTAAAATCTCATCTGATGATCACTTCTTTGGTTGTAATCATGTATTTAGTATGTGATGATCACAACAGATGAGTGAAGAGTATGTGATGATTCTAAGACTTTTGTATAGCACAAAGGAAATGACTGGATGCAGATTTCCGACTTTAGAACTATATATTCCATGTATTTTATTGGCACAATCTTGTTTTAAATATTTTTCACTCTGATTTGTTTCTATAGTGCCACAATGAAAAAAACGAAGGAGAAACGATGTCTCAATCCAGAGTCTGAGAATGTCAAGAAAATACTGGAAGCCATCAGCAAGAAAAGGTAGGTTTGCTGTTGCTTCGAAAGAACTTCAGTCTTGGGAAGTCAGAAATATTTGCACTGGGTTTTGATATGGGATCCTTGGTTTCAATGTGTTACCATCATACCCTCCTCCAGCTCCACCTCCATCAGCTTCTATGCTGAGGTGCCATCTTACGTGATAAGTATGAGAAGTTGCTCTGATTACCTGCCTAGAAATGTCAATAGGTCACTTCAGCATTGACACAAGAGATATAACATTCAAGAAAAGCTCCCATATTTTCCCCAATATTTTTATGGATTTAGAAAAAAAAAAGAAAAGAAAAGCAGTTCCTATAATCCATGATGATTGTGTAACAACAGAAAACCTTCACCTGGGATCTTTTGTTTTCTATATGAATTCAGTATGTTCCAAAGTACAACTCAGCTTGAAGCCAGAATTGACAGTATCCTACTTTTTATAACACCCCCTTTCTCATCTTTTTGTTCTAAAAGGTCTCCTCAGAACAAGAGGAAAACATAATCACTGCACTGTTGACAAGGCTGGACCAGAGAAAGGCTTCCTCGGCCATCACTTCTCTATCTAGGGTTTAAGTCAAGACCCAACTGTTCCTGGTTTAGAGTTCTCTGAAAGATGACAAACCATAATCAACAAATTACCTGCTACTACTGCAGGAAGGGAGTGTTGAGGCTTGTAGGATAAGCACTGGACTGCTAACCAAAATGTTGGCAGTTTGAGACCACCAACTGCTCTGCAGGAGAAAGATGAGGCTTTCTGCTCCTGTAAAGATTTACAGCCTCAAAAACCCTGCAAAGGGTCACTATAAGTTAGAATTTGACTGGACAGCACTTAACAACAACTACTACTTTAGGAAGATGTCTAGTTCATCCTCCTGAGCTGTTATAGTAATAACTCTGCTCTGGCAGTATACTATAAGCTATGCAGAGGTGCTACGTTTTTAGTGAATGTACCAAGTCCTAGCCCTGATACTGAAACTTCTTACCTTTGCCGTCTTCTAAGGGTTATCTTTTAGTGTCTGCTTTATTAGAGTTCTCAGAACCTCAAACGCAAAAAGATATTCAATCATAACCATAACATATTCTGCTTCTTTATGAAAGATCTGAACTCCATGGGCACCCATTACCTGCCTCTCAAGGAGCCCATACTGTTTCATTGGTTGTATACACAAAATTCTAAATGTATATAAGAAGTTAGAATTGTTTGAAAATATATGTGTAAATATTATTTAATGAAAGACTATACAAAGCTATTTTTAGATGTATATGTATCTCATTTTTTTTAGTGTTTACAGATTAACTTGTATTTTTAAGTGCTACAAAGGAATGAATGGGAGAAATTATGTATAAGTTTCAAAATTAAAATGATATGCTCACCTGAGAATAAAAAAATTACCTATCGAGAAACAAAAACTGTAATAAAATAATTGTAACTAAGATGAAGTGTCTTTCTGGTGATTTGACTGGGGCATTTATTTCATAAGAAACTTAGATTGAAGAATCCATGGCTTAGAGGAAAAGTTGGGATGGGTAGAGGGCAAATGAGTTTGAGAACTACCACAGACCTTCCAACTGAAGTTTTCTGAAATGCGTATCATATAGGAACTCATGTGGTATAACAGCGAATCTACCTAGAAATTCCATATGAGATTCTAACTCCTAAATACCTTAAATTAATCCTCTCTCCCCCAAATCTGTTTCTTTTTCTTTATTTTTTATTCTAGTTAATAAGCACTATCACCCACTCAGTTCCCTGACCAGAAACTTGGAAGTAATTTTATACCCCTCTTTCTCTTTCACTTTCCATGTCCGATTAATCACTAAGAAGATATCTGCACATATCTTAAAAACATAACAAGTATCTAGAATACATAAGGAGTCCTGATGTCACTCCACAGGATAAGCATTTGACCTCAAGGTTGGTTTGAACCGTCAGGTCAGAGGTTCAAACTCACCAACTGCTCCTCGGAAATCCTATACAGGGCAGCTACAATTTGGCACCAACTTGAGAACACTTAACAACAACAGAATACATAAAGGAGTCCTGGTATGGCACTGAAGGATCAGCACTGGACTCCTAACCCACAAGGTTGGTGGTTCAAACCCACTAACTGATCCTTGGGAACTTTATACAGGGTCACTATGAGTCAGAATAACAACAAGAATACATACAAACCTCCTAGGAGTCCCTAGCTGACACAAATAATTAAGCACTCAACTACCAGTCCAAAGGTTGGTGGTTCAGAAGGCATACCTATCAATCGACTTCAGAAAGACCAGTCTTGAAAACCTTATGGAACCGTTCTACTCTGCATACGTTTGTCACCGTGAGTAGGAATCAACGTGATGGTAACTAACAATGAGAACATGAAGAAAAAAGGAAAAGACAGAAAAAGAGTTGAAAAATGGTAAGAGAAGTGAATAGACATTTCACAGAAGAAAGAAGCACAAGCCCCTAACATAAGAAAAGAAGTTTAGTCTCATTAGTAATCAGAGAAATGCTCATTCAAATCACTGTGAACACTGTTTCACACCTACCAAATTAGCACACACACACACACAAAACTAACCTGGGGACATTAGGCTAGTGAAATTAGTCACAAAAGGACAAATATTATATGAAATGACAAGTATAAAAAGTCAAGAAAAGGTTTACACACACACAGACATTTTTTATTTAGGAGCAGGATGCTCTGGTAGCGTAGTGGTTACGAATCAGGCTACAAACCAGAAGGTCAGCAGTTCAAAACTACCAGCTGTTCCGCGGGAGAAAAATGAGGTGTTCTGCTCCCGTAAAGATTTACAGCCTCGGAAACCCTGTACGTGGTCGCTATGAGTCAGAACCAACTCCACGGCACGCAGCAGCAGGATGGGACAAGAGGGTAAATCACTAACTAGAGGGTATTTGTTGTTGTAGTTTGGTGCCATTATGTTGGTTCCAACTCGTAGAAACGCTACGTACAACAGATCAAAACACTGCCTGGTCCTGCACTATCCTCACAATCACTCCTATATTTAAACTTATTTTTGCAACCACTGTGTCAATCCAACTCATTGAGGGTCTTCCTCATTTTTATTGATCTTCTACTTACACCAAGCATGCTGTCCTTCTCCAAGGACTGATCTCTCCTGATAATATGGCCAAAGTACCTATGACATACACCATCCTAGCTTCTACCGAGTGCTCTGGTTGTACTGCCAACAAAGATTTGCTCATTCTTCTAGTAGTCCATGGTATACTCAATATTTTTCACCAACACAATAATTCAAATGCATCAATTCTTCTTTAGTCTTCCTTATTCAATGTCCAGCTTTCTCATGCATAGAGACGATTGAAAATACCTGGCTTGGGTCAGGTACACCTTAGTCCTTAAACTGGTATCTTTACTTTTTAACACGTTTAAAAGATCTTTTGCAGCAGATTTGCCTAATACAAAATGAATGCTGCTTCCATGGATGTTGATTGTGGATCCAAGTAAAATGAAATCCCTGATAGCTTCTGTCTTTTTCCTGCTCATCATGGTGTTGCTTATTAGTCCAGTTGTGAGGATTTTTGTTTTATGCTAAGGTGTAACCCACATTGAAATGTGTTGTCCTTAATCTTCATTAATAAGTGCTTCAAGTCCTCTTCACCTTCAGCGAGTAGACTGCAAGGTCTAAATGACTCTTCCTCCAATCCTGATGCCACAGCCTTCTTCATAGTGTCCAGTTTCTCAGATTATGTGGTCAGTATACAGTTTGAAAGGATAAAACCTTGACACACAACTTCTCTGATACCATGAAGTATCCCCTCGCTATGTTCAAATGGTCTGTGGACAAGTTCTGCCGTTATTGCTGTTGTTAGTATGTGCCATCGAATTGGTTCTGACCAATTAGAGCAACCTATGCACAACAGAGTGAAACAGAGCCGGGTCCTGTGCCATTGTCACAATGGCTACATTTGCGCTCATTGCTGCAGTCACTGTGACAACCCACCTTTATGGGGTCTTCCTCTTTTTGCTGACCCTCTACTTTACGAAGCATGATGTCTGCAAAAATAAATGATGGCACTAACCATCCTCTCACAACCCTCTCCACTCCTCACTTGAGTTCAACAATCCATTGCAATGGCCACGCAAAACTCAAAGACAATACAGTTAAGGGATTTATTACAGAAGTTAACAGTCTACAATGTTGTTCTTGTGATGTGCCGTCAAGTCCAACTCGAAACAACCCTGTATAGGTTTCCAAGAAGCAGCTGGTGGGTTTGAACTGCCTACATTGAGACTCACACTGACCTTGCAGTCTGGCAAATAAACCCACAGCACCACACCAGGACTCCAACACAGCATCAGAAAATTTTCCAGTCAGCTGTGATGAATGCCCACAGGACACACTATTCCACCATAAGCCTCAGCCTGAAGACATTCAGCTTTAGGTCCTTGGTTTAGCAAACCTAGCTCCCCCACTTAAGTGCCTGAAGGCACCCCAGTTTGCAAGCAAGCCTCCTGTCCAAGGTCAGTTTTACTTGCTCTAGCTCGTGCTCTGGCTCTTTGTTCTGCTGCTGCTGCTTCTCTGCCACTCCTCTAGTGTCACAGCTTTCTGTCCCTGGGTTAAGAAGGTCAGATGCACAGGGATCTCTGGGTCCAAAGGACTCACTCCACTCCTGGCTTGTCTTTGTTGGTAGTTGAGATGCCCCTCCTGTTTCTGAGACAGCTCATTTTATACCCATACTAGAGTTTCACATTTTTGCAATTATAATTAACTCTGCTAACACCCATAGCTGAATCATGTCATCCTATCAGTATTTTCTCCCACCTTCTCTTACCCAGACCCAGCAAGGCAGAAACATTATTTGGTAGGAGTTACAGATGATAACTAGAAGAAGCATTACATTAACTCACTACACTACAATGTCCTTTATCAAGGACTGGTCCCTCTTGATAACATATTCAAAGTATTTGAGACAAAGTCTGGTCATCTTTGCTTCTAAGGAACATTCTAAATGCACTTCTTCCAAAACAGATTTGT